TTTGTGCTAATCACCTACCTTAGGCTCATTATTCTTCAATAAAGGTTTTCCATCGTCGTCTTTCAAGATCTCCTCGATAGGTGCACAGCTACTGTCTTTTTCCTTCGTGTAACCGTCAGGACATAAACATTGCGGTTTCAACTCTCCCTCAGCATTCGGAATAGACACGCATATCCATAGGCAAGCACTATTGGCGCATGGATTTTCGGAGAGTGAGGGCTAAATGAATACATTTTTGATTCGCAAAATTGAGAAATTGTGCAGATTGTGAAGAGGTTGCGTAGATGCAGGATTCACTCGCAACTAAAGCTGGCTTTGCGAGGATAGACTAGATTGTACCGATTTCTAATTTTCTGTAAAATATTTATTGACCCTCACTTGGAACATCGTATGATTGATCGCCAAACCATACGGTAAAGTAGTGAATGAGTGTATTGAATAGGCAGACTCATGATAAATACTCAACTCGGACACTTTCAACGCAGAGGTGGCCCTAAAGGTGGTTTCATTGACAATGAAGTCGAAGGACCTCAAAATAATTTCACCAATCTGTCCAGTACAAAAATCCATTGAAGTACCGTACATCATATGGATGATGTACTCCTTGGGTCAGAACCACGGTCCTAAGCCAATATGTATTAGTTCACAATTTGTGCAGATGTGATTTCAAAGGATTTGCGGATCTCATTTTAAAGATTTTTAAAGTCACATCTACCAGAAAAGTGGAGTTTTGAAAATCTTTTGTTGTATGAAGTTCAAATAACTGTTGAATTCATTTATTTTTACAAACTTTTTTTTGCTTGATGCCGTATATTATTCGCTGTTCTAATGCCTTTAGAGTCCATACCGTGTTCCCTCCAAAAACCAATAAAGCAGGTGAGATTCAGTGAGAATAGCAGATTTTCGATCATTGATTGCATCAGGATTCTCCATCTGTCATTTGTTTGGAAAAAAATCAAAGACATACCTCTCCCTTGTATCCATATTCACTCTCTCGATCACTTGCCTTTCAATATCACCAAAATAGATATCGCTTCGAATAAAATCGATCGATAATCCCGTTGGGTAATCGAGTTTATTTTCGACCAAATTCCGGACATTCGTGCCATCCATGTTCGCACCGACAATCTTATGATGGCTACCGTATGATTCAATCCACACCATGGCACCTCGTTGTGGATGCAGAGCTAATCCTATAACAAGAAAAAAAAACTGAACAATTCAATAAATTTAATGGTGTCATACAATTCGTAGATACCTCTATACTGCTGCTTTTTTCCTTGATCAATCGGATCAGCAGGTTTTCCTTTGATGATTCGACGACAGAAGAAGCCATCTTTGGAACATACACTGATTCCTGGGATCAGTGACGGATCTGCAAGATCCAAGGATTACTGTAGCTTTCTCAGGAAAATTGTACAAAAAAGGAGTAAAATCTTACATCTTTGGGA